TGATCGTATCTCGAAAATTTTGTAAGTAGGGGCGTTCGTAAGTAGAGGTACCACTGTATTTAATATTCAGAGATGGAGGAGATGGTTGTTCCATTTCAAAAATTTTGCTTCAGGTATTCTCAGTCCATTCACTGAGCTTTAGAGTAATATAAAATTCGATCTCATATTCATATAGCCCTCAAAGTAGAGTTTTTTGAAAAAAGTTCTCAACCATAGGTTTGCTCATAATTATGTCAGGAGTCATCATCCTTATCTTACAGAAGTAAAGTTCTGATATAGCTCATTCATTTATTTTATTTTTATTCATTGTTAAACTTGTACACCGCCCATCTCCCCCAACGGGTGACTCTGGGCGGCTCACAATAACAGAAAAAAATGAAAAAACACCAATCCCTCCAACAATGGCTGAAATCCATAAATAATTAAAATAGAAACATACATTAAAAAAAAAGCTCATCTAGAGATAATGCAAATCAGTGGTGAACCACTTATCTAATTTATCCCTGACATACGTTAAGATTGATAGCCCATACTTTAATAAATCTTACACATTTAGTCCATTGCTTTAACTATTTTATTTGGAAATTTTAAGCCATTTAAAATAAAAACAGACATTTAAGGTTATTGTTTACTTACCATGTGTTTTGATCCTTATTCATTCTCTCTATATATCCAAACCACCTCAACACACTTTTTAATTTTGTATTCACTCCATTTTCATTCAGCCCTCATTCATTCTTGCCCCATCTTTTCTTGTTTCAGATGCAACAAGGACCCAATTCCTACTTCATCCAGATTACTATGATGTTTCTCCTGACATACCCAACTCTTATTCCTATATAATAATGTGGGCAATATGGGTTCTTATACACAGCCATTTTTTGGTCCTTTCAACCAACATTCATTCTTAGCAACAGACCACATACTACCCACTGGGTGTCTAACAGCCTTTGCATGTCTTAAAATTCTCCATCATTTTCCTGTTTAGTAAACCTTCTACCAAGGTACACAGATTCATCTGTTTGCTCTAGTTTTTGGCACAGAGTTTGATTTCAGCTTGACAAACTGTGTATTTTTTTCAAATTGAGTTCATATTCTGATCTCTACCTCCTACACATTAATGCACACATTAGCCCATCTACTTCCACATGAAATGAAGCCATGGTTTGGGGAAACGTGTGTGGATAATGCACTGAAGAAAGTTGCTG